TCCGTGCTTCTTTCACTCATGTCTCCCAAAACCAGTCTTCCCTCTGTATTTCCACCCTGCCTGCAACCCCAAAATAAACCCAAACCGAATTATCAAAGGAGCCATGGATTAGGTGCTAAATGCTGGATGCGCTGAATAGAGCTCTTTGAAGTCTATAGGGCATTAAGGCAAAAATGTCACCATTGGAATCTAATTCTAAATTTGACTCCTTCATCGCCCCAGCTTCATTCCACAGCTTTATCTCCACTGTCCCTCCTGTGGACGAAGTTTGCAAACTGCTGTATGTGTGAGTGTGGGTTCTGGGGATCAGGCCACAAGGCAAACTAAATAATATGGATTCATCGAAGGACGGAACATTTTCCACCCAAAGATGAATGAGGGATGAGAGGCAGGCAGGCAGCCGGCTGGCGGCTAAGGAGGTTGTGTGTAGCCGGAGAGACATTGATTTTGGCTATGAGAGACCGAGGCACATGAGAGGATGACATGCAGAAGAGGAAAGGCCAGATCCTGTGTACTAAGACAAAGAGGAAAAGGAAGCCTGCTCTGTTTCCACAAGTCATAAATGGATACAGAATAAAGGAAGAGGGGAGGAGTGTTCTCTTTAAAGCCTAACAAATCTGTAACTTAAAGTGAAATGAGATAAAGGAATTTTAGGTATGATGAAAAGCGGAGTTTTGCTGTGATAAATGTTTAGCCATTGCTTTGGTATCATCTCTTTCAAAATGTTACTTATGACTTTATGGGAGGGTTGGAATCAAGTGAGTGAGAGGAAGAGGAGGGATGGGATGGGATGGCAGTGTCTAGTCTAACCATAGATTCCACCTTGCTTTGATACATTGCACTGAATGAACTTTTCCTCATTTCCATAAGCTTTGTGAGGCCGGCTAATAAGTGATTGGTATTCTCGCCGTGGCCTGGCCCCGCTCTTCGATAAGCTGTGTGCGCACACAGCCGAGCCCTCAACATGATCTCATTTCCTGTCTCCCAAACACCACAAACAAACGCCGTCAAAGGCACAATTTTTCTGTTTCCCTGAGTATTGTTGGTGAAACTGTTGTTGTTTCTCAGTTCTGCACACAAAAAACAAACCACAATGCACCATTAGCTCTGGGTGCCGAGGGCGTCTGCAAGAGTTCACTCCATACATTGTGGTTTCACAAACACTGTGGCGTAGACGTAGATATGCTCACAACATAACCCGCCTGTGGAGTAGCGATAACTAGGGCTAAACAAAGGCCCTTTTAATGTCAGTGTAAGCCCTTGTCCTGAAGGGGGCTGTGTGTGTGTGTGTGTGTGTGTGTGTGTGTGTGCATCTGTCTGTCTTTCTGTTTGCACACAAACTGTTTGTTTATACTGTATGCTACTCTCTGTATTAGGGTGTCTGTTTGAAAAACTGAGATAAAATGGGGCCGTAATAGAGAAGTGAGAAAAAGAGTTGGTCAACCAAAGGTCCCATTGTGTCTTCGAATTCAGTAAATGAGCAGAGGAAATAAGAGCGCAGCAAAGATATAAAGAGAAAAATAGACTGCTGGAAGTTTCTTAGTCAGCTAAATGTGTAGTTTATGCAACTGTTCTCATCACCGGATGGGTGCTGACAGGAGGGCCTGATTAAACAGAGCTGCAATTGTTTAGTTGAACACCAGAATGGCCTTTAGCTCTCTATTTCTAGTCATTGTGGGATCAGGCAACAGTGGTTGGAAATAATCTGTTTATTTAAATCATGACTGTTAGTATTGTTATTTATTATCTATTGTTAAAATACAAATGTCCCTGCCACTAGCGAATGCTTCAAGGGTCCCAGAAGCTGTAAGCTTTTGAAATCCAGCCAAAAGTCATGGTGGTTTCTAGACATTACTTTAAAAAGCGGCCTGGAAACCAATGGAAGTGCTGTAACAGCAGAAATATTGAAGATGAAAACTAGCTTTTTTTAGTAGGTGCGGAGGAGGCTAGATAGTTTAGCGAGGGGGGGTGAAGAGCGGATAGTGTATTTGGCAGGGAGGGCACTGTATCCATCCTACTCCTCTGGCAGCACTGAGTCTAGTTCCTGGCAGGCTCAACGGCTCTGCACCCTTCTGATAACTTACCCGCTTGGCTTTCCATTGTCTCTGCATTCCAGTGGCTTAAAATGGAGGTCACCTTTTCTAACAGCATATCAACATCCTCGAGAATAATGTCAAACCCTCAGTGCACAGCGGGGGGTGGGG